ACATCCTCGATTGTCATGTCCACAAATATGGCGCAAAAATGTGGAGACTACAACACTATATCTCCTGAAGATCATGGGAGTAATGAAAGACAGCGAAGCACAGCACAGACAACGAGGGTGTCCCTAGATGATGGAAAACAGTCTAACACGCGTGTAGGCACTTCGATGACGAGAAGAACGGGTGACAACATTGCGAAGTCTTACCATGCTCGCTCGAGTGACGTGGCCGCAAGCGCAGCGCCAGCATCATATCGAGCATGCGGAGACATGTTCGACGTATCTGGTTCTCCGACAATGTCTGAGGAAAAAAAAAAAAAAACGCGGAAGTGGCTGCGTGCGGAGAGGGATAATGATGATGACGGATTTGACTTGTTTGATGCATTTCCTAATCGGGGGGCTGGCATGATATCGCCTGCCATTAGTAGTGGCGAGGGGTTATCTCGTAACACTTCTCTTGCGAGCAGTGCAGGGCCAAGTTGAGCAGGGAAACCACGTTGCATCGAGGTCGKTAGATCAAAATCCGCTCGTGCTCGTTTACCGGGTCACGAATGTTTTGAATGTAAAAAGTTCTATGATGATGTTTTTCCAGACACACTCTCCCTTCGTGAGAGAGATGAACATGTGAACGAGTGCTCTCGATACAAGGTCAACCAGCGACGACCACTAACGCCTCCGGGATATTGGGAATTCAGGTTCCCGGATTCTGACCCAGATTGCTGATGTTGTTGCTCGTCTAGATATCCACTGCATGTCTCTCTCTCTCTCTCTCTCTCTCTCTCTCTCTCTCTCTCTCTCTCTCTCTCTCTCGACGTCGCTGCAGATTCTCTTCCGCACTACCGGATTGCTGATATTGGGGCACACGGGGCATCAAGCAAGGTATGCGTGATGTTGCACTAATGGTTACCGCTGATGTGCTCGCAATTGTGTCGTGACATAGGTCCACAGAGGTTTGTTGGACCAAACCACAAGCCGAAATGACAAAACACGTTCACGAGGGAGGACTTGTCCCCGACGTGTGGCCTAGAGGAGTGTCGTCACCAGCCACATCGGAGGAGTCGGCGGCTGTTGCCTTGTACCAACAACCGTACCGTAACATTTGTCTTCGCACATCGCTTCTTGATAGGAGACGGTTTTACGTTGATGATGATGTGGATTTTGACAACGTGCCAGCACCGCCGTTGTCTGAGTCGTTTTCAGTTTCGTCATCAGCAAAGGAGTTATTCGAAAGTTTGACTCCCACGTCACAACCTCTACCAATTGCATCGCAAGGCACCGCGGCTGAAGGCTCGAGGGAGGAAGTCAATCCTCATTTCCGTCGAAACATGGTTAGACGTCATTTGTGGCCATCGCAAGCAGTCCATGGTCGAAACAATGCTACTGCTTGTTCTTCGGGGAGTGATGGAACTGGGTCGTCGCATGACGCTTTTACGAACATAAGAGGAAACACTACTGCCACGGAATATATTTGGAAGTTCTCTGCCGGTGATTTCGGTACTCCCCCACCTCGAGTTCGTCGCAGCAGAGACAGCGATTCCGATTTCCCGGATGAATCACCCTAGAAGTATCTTATGTTCGTCCAATGTCCGTATGAAAAAAACAGTGTTGAAACCTCATTTTCATGATGTAACATAACAATATTCCACCACATAAGTCGATATACCAAGTTGCGCACGTCTTCTAAGTTTTCGTTTTCATTGCCCATACCCTTTTTTGAAAGTGTGGTCCTTTTTTTTTTTTTTTTTTTTTTTTGCACAAGAGGGCGTCTACATATTGCATTATCGATTTTTTTCAACCAGAATATGTGTTTGTATGTGTGTGTGTGTGTATGCGTGTGTGTGCATTTATTCTGGTGTCGCAGTTTGATAACTATCACATTCAGTGTATAACACGACCGGTTTGAGAKTTCAAATGTCGAATGAGTCGAACTCACAAGAGGGTGGGGATGTCGAGAATAATTCCCAACGACCGCTATCATCACAAGGCTCGAACGAAACAGGGTCGCAAACGTCTTCGTGTTCTTTCTCTGAGTCGTCCTTCAGGAGTTTTGCTGAAGATGTCGACGATCCGGATTTCGTAGACCAGGATGATATTGTTTTATCCAGGAACGAACGTAGACATTACAAGAGACTGACATGCTCAAACCCATCTATTTCTTCGTATACGCACTCGACAAGGAACTCTGATGGCAGGATCAGTTTTATTGATATCCGCCAAGCTGAAGTGGCAGAAAATGTCCATGAACACACTGACACAGGTACACAAAGCAAAGAGCAGCATAACAACATTCACGACGACGACAATGATGATTGTGGCGAGGATGTAGATGACACTGATCATGGCAGTGAAGCCACGTCATTGAAGTCACACAATGCCGGATCAAAGACCTTATAATTTGAATAACGTAAACCGCATACTCAGTGGTTGGCTGTATCTTCTAATGGTGTGCATCTGCCGCAGCAACGTAAAGAGAGAGAGAGAGAGAGAGAGAGAGAGAGAGAGAGAGAGAGAGAGAGAGCTTAATGTTGATGTTTGCAATATATTTTTCTCCCATTTCCAATTTTTATAATGCTATAAAGCACCATGTACTCACCATGTTCTATATAGAATGTGGCACTGTATTGTTACAGAGCCGGTTTCCTATGTTTGTGGTTGTCTGCTTCTCCCACTATTGACGTGTTGCTGCCACTCGCATGCAGTGCTATCTTACATAATTGTGAGGACGAAGCTTCACGACTTCAAGGAACAAATTAAAGGAATGGATGACATGCGGGTGAATCATGGCGGGCAAAGAGGGAGAGGACGGGCGAACGGCGGTGTGGGTCGACAGCGTGTGAGGGGGCGAGATTTGCGGCGCGAGGAACCAAGATTGACGACGGAGGAAATACGTCCGAGATGGCCTATTGCCGTGCAAAAAGTCGAAAAGGCGGTGCAGTTCGTTGGTCAAGAGGGACGCATTGATGAATTCTTGCAGATCCTTATTGGGAATGAACGACATGACGCAAAAACCAATCGACTTCATGGGTACCACCGGTTTGCTAACCTATGTGGCTACACTTATCGTCAAAAATTGCCCGATGAGTTTGAGGAAGCCATGCGTATGTTGTGGCCGAATCCGCCGAACGTTCCCAATGTCCACTTCATAGCTGATCCACATGGTCCCGCTGATAGTCATGACCCACGACCAGGTTGACATACGGTGGTTTAT